TCTATCTATCTATCTATCTATCTCTATCTATCTCCCTCTTCCCCCATTCCTTCAAACCCTTTACCCTTACCTCTTCTCTCACTCCCTCCCCTCCATGGCATGTGACTAACCTCTACCCTCACCTGTTATATTGCCAGGGAACGAACGGAAAGGAACTTAGTCCTCACTTGGTGGAAAGCGAGGGGAAGGGAAGGGTTGTCGGTCCCTTGTGCCACCAAGAAGGAAAGGATACGAGACTATTGAGAACATTTGCGAAAGCGAAAAGGAGTGCTGATTTTGGGCAAGGTTAGTTTGACTCAACCATCCTTCCGGACTGCATGACTAAGGCGATTGCATGGCTTGCTTGTGGGAAAGGGAAGGGAACTCATAAGAGGAAGGAAAAGGGGGCCTAGGATTGCGGGAAGGGGCGATGTGTTGACCCCAATGGGGATTGTACTTGGTCATTTGTCTTGTGTGGTTTTGCGCAGGTGAGTAGCCTGGGACGATTTGGACAGGGCTGAAACCACGGAGGAGGACTAGGGTGGGAGATCGGCTAAGGAAAGGACTTGGATCCGGCTTAAGCCTTGGATGCGGGATGAGTTGAGGCCGGGCGCTTGGGTGGATGGGTGATGCATGAACTTGGTTTATGTGGAGGTTGCATGGAATGTCTCTCTCTTGTGCAATGCGACCCCTGGAAAGACTAAGGGTGGTCTTGGATAGGTGATGCGATGCCTAGTGGCTCTCGCAAAAAAAATATAGCGGCTAGGGGTCCGGCGACGCCGCCTTACCCCAAGGATGCCGCCGGGGCTTCCCAGAACCACTAGGCTTAGTGAAAAGTTGCGTGACCCAATGGATGACGCTTGGCCTGCGCACGATAAGAAGATGAGACTTCAACAAACTCCCTGGACTGCCTGTGTATTGGAAGGAGCAATTGCCTGGTCAGACCTAACTGAATCGAGAAAACGCCACGAGTGCCCGAAGAGCTACCATCTTGACGCGAGAGCGGAGCTACATCCCCCAATGTAAAGTCCTCTCGCAAAAGGCTCATCCCCATCCATCTCAAAGCACTAGGTGGGGATGCCCCTGGGACGAACGACCCGCGCCCTGAGCGTGAGCATGGGTGGGTCGAGCCAAATGGGACCCACAGTGGGGTCGACCGAGGCTCGAAAGTCCTTCAGGGTGCGGCCCTTACAACGCTTTGCGGACACCACGAGTGGGATAAAGGCGTTCGACAAACTCTAGACAATCCACACGCGGTAGTGGAGGAGCATACATGCTCTAAAGGCCGCCCTGGATGAGCTTATCACGGTGCAAGGACACAGAGTGACTGAGGCCCATCTTGTTCAACTCTTTAACCGCGCATTGCCCGAGCAAGTGAAAGGGCAGTTCTTTGCTAAAAAGCAACAACCTGGAATGACATATGATGTCCTTAGTAGAGAGGCTGTCACGTCGCTACCCAAGCTATGCTAGTTACCACTTTCTGGCATAAGGATCTGACAAAAAGGTAAAAGTGGAAAGGACACACCATCTTTGGTCAGGTCAAGGCCAAAGATAGTTTGATTCTTACGATGGAGGAAGGTGGTGCAGAGGAAGTCCCATATACTGATATCGAATGGGGACTATTAGAAGAAGAGGAAGACGATAGGGTGGAGAAGGGGAGTACCTACGCTGCTGTCGAGGCCGGAGGGAGGCCGCAAGGAGGAGGACGAGGCCAAGGCAGGAATGACCAGGTCTCAGGTGGCCGAGGACATGGCGACCAGGGGGTCGGCGACAAACAGGACCGCCAAGCGGGAGGTAGGGGTCAAGGTCCCCCATTTAACCGCCTGCGTTCCAGTCGGTCGCCTCCCAGAAGATGAGGATGGCACACAGGAAGACCCGAAGGGAGGCCCTGGGAGTCCTTGGGAATGGGGCATATAGTTTGCCAGGACAACGTAGACAAATACCAATGCGTGTTTTGTGGAGACGCTGGGCACATCATCAAATTCTGCCCAAAGTATAGGGATCGTGTTGCGTCTGGGGCAGCAAAAGGCAACAGTGGGTAGAGGTAGCAACTGCCCCTACCCCAAGAGTACGCGGAGATGAGCGTGCGCGCAAGGAGCAACTCGAGGAAAAAATGTTTGTCGCCTACGTTAGGCCAGTCACGGACACACCAAAGGAGGACGAGAAGATCCATCCCACTATCGCGAGCTTGCTGAACGAGTACAAGGATTTATCAGAGGTAACCTCAGGGGTGGTGCCAAGGCCCATCCAACACCGGATAGAGATAGAGCCTGCCAGTAGAACACCTAAGGGAGCAATCTATAGAATGTCTCCCAGGTTAGAGGAGCTATGCAAGCAATTAGACAAGCTCTTAGAAAAAGGATGGATCAGACCTAGTTCATCTCCTTTCGACGCACATTTTATTTTCGTCCCAAAGAAAAGGGGAGAATGTGCATAGACTACAGGAGTCTGAACGCCATAACAGTCAAGAATGAAGATCCCCTGCCCCGTATAGATCATCTATTGGATCGGGTGCAAGGATTACAAAGATAGATTTGAAGTCGAGATCCCATCAGATAGAGGTACACCCTGACGATCAATAGAAGTTGGTGTTCCATAATAGGTACAGGCATTATGACTTCATAGTGATGCCATTTGGACTAACTAACGCACCAGCCACGTTCCAACGATGTAGGAACGACTTATTGAGACTGTGGCTAGATAGATTCATCGTAAGGCCATCTGAGGCAGATCTTGGGGAAGCTACGAGAGACTAACTTCAAGATCAACGCGAAGAAGTGCGAGTGGGCCAAGACAAAAGTTCTTTACTTGGGGCACGTATTAGATGGATACGACATTAGACTAGAGGACGATAAGATCACATCGATGAGAGACTAACCAACTCCTCGCACGCTGACTGAGTTGCAGTCGTTTTTAGGACAAGCCAACTACTACTGGAAGTTCGTAAGGAATTTCTCTGCTATCGCTGCTTCCCTTTGCAGACTCCTAAAGAAGGAAGCAATCTGGAAGTGGGACCAAGATTGCATCTTGGCCTTGAAAAAGTTGAAAAAGGCTTTGGTAGAGTATCCTGTCCTCAAAGTAGTCGATCCTTCATTGCCCTTTGTCGTCACTACGGACGCAAGTCAGTATGGCATATGTGTTGTACTACAGCAAGATGACGACAATGGCTATAGACCCGCAGAGTTCATGTCAGCTAGGCTGCCTTCAGAAAAGGTAGCAGCCTTGACATGCGCAAGAGAACTCTACGCTCTTAGGCATGCCTTAGATCATTGGAGGCACTACCTGCTTGGGAGACACTTTTTCAGACCACGAGACCCTAAGGTGGCTGAAGACGCAAGCCAAGAAGACACCCGAACTGACTAGATGGGCTTGTGAGATAGGTCAATTTGACTTTGAGCTCAAGCCCGTTAAAGGTAAGTACAACGTGGTAGCCGATGCACTAAGCAGAAAAGCAGATTACTTCGGCGCAGTAGTACACAATCTAGATATAGGGGCGGACCTGCAGCAAAGGATAAAGGATGCGTATGCTCAGGATCCGATTTACAGCGAGTTACTGAAGCGAGTGAAAGAAACCCCTGATAGTGAGCCACACTATTGAACCATGAACGAGCTGCTGTTTGAGAAGACCAATGTCGTGGACAAACTTTGCGTCCCCAATAATGAGGAGATTCGTAACTTGATCTTAGGGGAATGCCATGATATAGAAGGACACTTTGGTTGGCAAAAAACTTTGGCTAACCTTACAATTTCGTAAACATGGCCTGACATGAAAACAAACTGCATAAAATATATCCACAGTTGTAAAGTTTGTCAGCGCAATAAGACAACGACGCAAACACCTCTAGGTCTCCTCAGACCCTTGCCTATCCCCGCAAGACCCAAAGTGTCGATTTGATGGATACCAGAGTAAGGAGTAGGCATGGCAAAAACCAAGTCATGGTTATAGCAGTCTTCGTACCTTTGCCTTCAGAGGCAAGAACAAACTTAGTTATAGAGAAGTTTTTCGACTTCTGGCAAGTGAGCATGGGATATCATTGTCCATGCTTAGTGACCGAGACACGCGGTTTACCAGCCAGAACTGGTAGGATCTCATGAAAGTTTACGACTCTAAGCTGTTGATGTCATCAGGTCGTCATCTAGAGACGAACGGCCAGACGGAACAAATGAATAAGATCTTGCAGCAACTACTCATAATGTATATTAGACCAGATCAAATCAACTGGGATGAGATGCTTCCCAAGGTAGCTAGCGCCTATAACAACAGTGTACATCTAGCTACCTGTCAAACTCCTAACGAGCTGCATAAGTCCTTTAGACCATGTAGGCTGTTTGAACGGCTGAACCGGGAGCAGATTCAGAGATTACCTCCCGATACTAGAGAATTTGCTTTGCAGCACGAGAAGGAAGTCGCTAGTGTGGTCGGAAACCTTAGGAAGGCCCAATTTCGAATGATCGATCAGGCGAATAAGCATCACAGACCTTCGCAGGTCAGGGTAGGCGACCTAGTCTGGGTCAAGTCAAAGGAATTCGCACCAGAGGAAAACATCTCGCAAAAGCTCTTGCCCGCATACAGAGGGCCATGGCCTGTCCTGGAAGTCAAAGGAGGAGAGGACAGACCATCGTACACCATAGAGATACCACCGCACCTCCATGCATATCCGGTCTTCCATGCGTCAAAGTTGTTGCCGTGTATGACCAACGAGCAGTTTCCTTCTATGATCCCGCCAGATATGGATGGCACATACGACATAGACCGCATATTGGAAGAAGACGTTCTTAGGACTGGAGGTGGGGGTCGTCCCCAGAAGCAATATAAAGTCAGGTTTGCTTACCAGGAACTTGAGGATGATAGATGGTTCACCAGAACTGAGCTTCTAGAGACCGCTCCCGGCATAGCGCATGCCTATGAGAGGGCAAGAAAGGGTAAAGGTCCTGCCTTGGATTAGAGAGTTCTCGGAGGACCTCGAAATTTGGATGGCGGGAGTGAAACGGTTTCATTCAGTTCGTAGGACAATTGCAGGACCCAGAGCTCGATCCCTAGATCTATTCCCGAACCGTGTACAGCAAACCGTTGACCCTATGTGCCTTGTACTCGTGACCTGTCCCTAAGCACATGCGTCTAGGTGTCATACATATAGCTAGGTCGTGAGGGCTTGAACTGTAGTCTCAATTTTCAGAAGTCTTAGTGTCAGTCTTGAGTTGTAGCTCTAGCTGTAACGAAGGGTCAGTCCTGAGTCGCCTAGGACCTTCTAGAGCTGTCAAAGCTGGCTCTTTGGAACTGTAGGGGTTAGTCGTAGCCTAGGAGGTTCTAGACCCGTCAATCTGACCTTTCAAGATCGTAGCAGTCGGTTGTCCGTCGGTGAGTCAACGAAGTGAAGTCCAGTCCTAGTTGCAGTCCCAAGTCCACCTTGTCTAGTCAGCAAGTACCAGGTGGGGCTGCACCTTCCTTGGGCCCGGGACTGAAGGCAGGCCAGACTACAACGAAACAGTATAAACAAAGAGGCAGCGCCCAACCATTCATTCCTTCGCTTGGGATCCATGAGGAAGCGCTGCTAGTGCGACTTGTGCGTTGGAGGCCTGCATTTTGCCTGACGACGAAGAGGGCAGAGGTGGATGATGACGTCCATAGCCACCTAGAGGAGGAAGACGACAGCGGCCATAGCCACCTAGAGCTGAGATCAACAAATAGGACGTAGTGTGTGTGTGTGTGTGTGTGTGTGTGTGTGTGTGTGAGAGAGAGAGAGTGCGTGGACATTCAGGGTAGATCCAAGTGTGTGTGTGTGCATGTGAGTGAGTGCGAGGTGTCTGATGGTGGATACATGTAACAAGTTGACTTAAGCTGAGATCCTGGCCAGAGGTCATATATCTGAGATTTCTGTGTGGGCGCTATGTGCCATCTCGCGCTTATTGCTGATTCTGCCTTGTGAGAGTTCATCAGCCATCGACATCTGTATGCATGCATGTTTAAAGTGAAGTTTGAAGACAAGTCTGATTTCAAATACCTCCTCCTTCCAGGCCTTGTTGAGGAAGCTCTCGTATGTCACCCAAAATTCCTCTGACAGCCCATCCTTCCCTGTGTGTTGTTTGGCTTCATGTCTCGTCGAATGTGACTTCCTGTTCTTGAGAAATGATGTGTTCCAGGTATGACAAGGACTCGGTCCTTACTTGAGTTCAGGCATTTACTGGGACCTTCTCCTCTCTGGATGTATATAGTTCGCTGGAAAACTTATGGGCAATCCCCAACACTTCCCTTGAGTCTGTTGTTACCCCTTCTTCTCATTCCAGCTGTTCGATCAGTAAGTTCTGAGTTCCAGCCTTGATCTTTTGGTCATTCTCTCCCCTTCTTCCCGTTCTTTGTCGTCTACCCTCACTGTCAGTGATTGTTTTGATAAAAGCTCGCTATTCTTGTCACTCTTTTGTTGCTTTTTACAATATTGAATATTGGCTTTGCTTTCTGACCCCTCGCCAAACTCCCTCCAAATGTGAATGACAAAGCAGCGTTAGAGAATCAAAACGCTGACTCCGGTCAAACATATGTGCAGCGCGTACATAGTAAATGAGAGTCCCAAACCCTGGTTCCCTTTCACATTACCCACACCCTGCTCTGCAAAGGTTAACATAGTATTGAGGAATCACTGTTGTGTGTGAGGATTGTGAAGAGGTTCTTATATTCTGTGTTACAGATCTAACTACTGACTGACGATTACAGGTAGCATCAAGCGCTCTGGGTATGGGACCATTTCAAGCAATGCAAATCGCCGAGCGTCTTTACATCCAAGGATACATAAGGTAAGTCAAGCGTTGTGCATTCTGGTCTGCCATGTTCTGAATTATGTGTGAAGTTGTGGTACTTCTTTCTCTCTCGGGTGACCTTAGTAGCATCTACCAGGTGTAGCAATGTGATTCATGTTCAAACGCTGAGTTTCCTTGAACCACCACTTCCACTGCCACTAACAAGTTTGGGGGACCGGTAGCACAAGTTCATGAGGGCTAAGGTGAGAGAAGGTTAACAGAGACCCTAATTTTCAGACCACTTGCCATGCCATTTATATGAAAACCAAAGGGTCATTTTAATCAAACTTGTCACCAATTCGTAGAGTGGAGACCTGTGGGGGTCCCCGTTAACCATTTGTGGCTAAGGTAGCATAGTCTGGAGAACCGGTAGAGTGGCCAAGATGGAATTTGCACCAAATCGGCACGACAATTTTTTCGCTGCCTAAACACTTTTTTTTCCTCATGTTTTTCCTGGAAAGATCACGATCTAATCTACAGGATCTCAAATTTTCAGATTTTTCTGTCAATTATTCTGAGCGTGAAAAATCGCTGAAGTTGGAGTATTTTTCCGTTCGCACATAGGTGGCAGAGTGGCAAAAATGGAAATGCATCGAATCATTGCGGCGATTATTTCACTGTCTAAACAATTTTATTTTGTTTCCTCATATTTTTCTGGAAAGATCACGACCAAATCTACCGGATCTCAAATATTCAGATGTTTTGGTGTATTCTTCTAAGCGCGAAAAATCATCAAAGTTCGCACTTTGTTTTTTTTTCCCCCATCGACCTCAGCTTGAATTGCCGCCGACCTCCACTTCTTCCGGGCTTCTGGCCTTTGAAGGACCCGGAAAGCCAAATTTTCAATGTCGGGAGAAGTGGTGGTTTGATTCCCTCTGTGGACCTGGGTTGTAGCTGTGTGGTAGATGTCTCCAAGGTGGTGTGGTTAATAACCTGACATCTCTCCGTCTGACACAGTTCATACACCCCCAATTGGTATGGCCTTATCCCTAAGTCAATGACACATGACAAAATGGCGATGATAGGCACTTCCTGACTGTGTTCACAGCACAATTACGGCATAATAATAAATATTAATAATTGTGATCTAATCTAGTGATGATGATGATGATGATGATGATGATGATGATGATGAAGATTGTACTGAAAGGGGAGCAGAAAACAGGCAAACTCACCTGGTGGAATATTGCCTAGATTTCAATGCTCCATGGCAAGTGTTGGCAATAGTTTCATGTAACTGTAATCGGCCCAGAAGTCACACAGAAAGAAAAACAAGAAAAAAAGCAAAAAATTAGCACAATGTGACAGTTTCGGTGCAATTCGGTGCAAAATTCGCCGAAAATAACACCCCTGGTTAACCATATGTGGATGTGGGGATGATGATGATGGTGATGATGTCAATGATGATGAAGTCGTAGGCGACAACGATGATGATGATGGGGAGGAGGAGGATGCATCATCGTTCTCATGATGGCAACAACATGCATGCACCGAAAATCATGGCATCATTGGCAATATTAATTATGGTGGCAGTGATTGTCAGCATGTGGTGCAAAGTTACTGTTGATAAAAAACATAATCATTCATGCGAGGATTAAGCCCCTAGCAAGGCCTTTGAGGCCCGGACGGCCAATGACAGATGGGGCCCCAGTAAGCCTTGAGCCCGTCTTAAGTGAAGGTGGGCCTTCATTTCAACATGAGGCCTTTTTTGTCATTTCTGCATATGGGGGCGCCAGACAGTTGCCACGCACCAGTTGGTTACAACGCCCACGTTTGTGGGATCACGACATTGTGAGCCTCTGAGCTCACCCAGCTGGCGACGTGGTTTCGGCAAATGGAATTGCGGTGAGCAACGCTGGCCACATCGCACAGTTGGGCTGCTTAGCTGTCGCGGGCCCAGGCAAATTGCAATGAACCCAAGTCATGAATACGATTGTCAACAATACTAGTCCAGAATGTCAAGTCGCTGATAATTTCCAGTAATCAAAGTAGTATCCAGAAAGAAGGAGGTGAGGTAATCATACACAGACGAAGAGGAAGGAGGGAGATGAGACAAAGGAGAGGATGATAAAATCCCCACTCCTCCGGGCTCCTTCCTTGACCGCCACCTCACAATAACCAGTAATCTGAACACATATCGAAGTCCTGATACAATGTTCCACGTGGCACCCAATCAACCTCTCATCAGCGCTGGAGTAGCATCGACGTGAAGATCCCAGGTACGTATCCACAACCTCCACGCAGTCCCGATCTCCTCCTGAACTGACGATGAAACAGCCTTGATATCTCCATGAAGTGATGATGGAATAGAACAGCAATGCCGGTCCTGTAGACCCGGCAATGTCACATGTGGCAGCAGCCACGTCAGCAGCAACACGTGGCAATGCCACGTCAACAAGCCTTGAAGACAGTAGCCAGCCAGTCAGCGCACCAGCCAGCAGCGTGTTGCTGCTATCTCGCCAATGCCAGCGTAATGCCAGCGTCCACCAGCGTCGCAGCGACCAGTCAGCGACGTGCCGTCAACGCGTAGAGCAGCGTCAACGCGAGACAGAAAGAATGAATGTCAAAGCCAGGGATTCCACGCTTATGTAGCGTTGACTCGGGGTCTGGACCCCGGCTGCTGCAGACTCCAGCCGTCCAGATCTTGACACCAGGAAGGGCATGGATCGATCTGAAACTGTATCCTCTTCGGCCTGGATGCATGTCTTGGTACCTGCGCACAACGAGTGGATGTATCCAACCAAGGGCCTGGCGTGGTACCTTTGACTTGACAGTTGACTTTGACTCTTGAATTTCCTGATCTTAGCATTTGGTCCCACATCCACGTGCGGCCTTCTCAGTTCTGGGCATGTGTTGGTCACACAGCCCAGCGCAGACCAATTCTGGTCTGCGTGGCCTGGGGCTGAGTTCTGGGGCCCTGGCTATTTCTGAACAGGGTTACTACACAGGCCACTGTCTGCATTGGGCCTGGGCACAGACACTTTGGCCCAAAGCCAGGCTATGGGGCGCGCACTCGCCAGGCCCAGGGCAGCCTGAAGCAGGCCACACTTTCCATATAGGAAAGTGGGCACGCCAGGAAGAGGACATTCGGGCGAGCGCTGCTATTTTGAGCGCTTGCGGTTGCGACCAGAGTGCTGGCTGCCTCATGCACACAAGGGCTCAGAGTCTCATAATCAACACACCAATATGATGATGAGCATCATGATCGTAAAAATCAGTTTCTGAATCACATCACAGTGTGA